GACAGTTTAGTCATTAACCTTTAACCCACTGGTTAGGTTTTAATTCATTCATTTTTTAAAAAAATATAAGATAAAACAAGAGCTATTACACTGATGTTGGCTAAGACAAACAGAAGGAAAATAACCCAAAGAAGGCACAAGTATCAGAGAACAACTCATGTTTACACTCAAGAATCCTATAAAAACACTAAACTTTAGCCATGATGTATACACAAAAGACCTGGTGCAGATTCCTGCAGTCCCTGGGCATGATCCTCAGTCGCTGTGAGTTCATATGGGCTTTGCTCATGTGATTTAGAGTCTGGTTTTCTTAATGGCCTGTATTCCCTCTGGCTCTAACATTCTTTCCACCTCCTCTTCTACAGGATTCTCTGAGGGGAAGAATTTGATGTAGACATCCCATTTAAGGGCTGAGTGTTCCAAAGTCTCTCATTCTCTGTGTATTGTCTGACTGTGGGTCTGTGTATTTGTTCCCATCTGCTGCAGGAGGAAGCTTCTCTGATGATGTCTGGACAAGACACTGATCTAGGAATGCAATAGAATATCATTAGGAGTCATTTTATTACTACAGTTTTTCTCTTTTCTTAAACCAGTCCTAATGGTTTTACTCTAGATCCCTTGGCAATCTGTTCTCAGGTTCTTGATCATCTTAGCAGGATGAGACATGGGTTTCATGTCATGGACACCATAAGTCAAATCACTCATCGGTTGGTTACTGCCACAAGCTTTGTTTCACCATTATCTTGGCTTTTCTTGCAGGCAGGCAAGACACCATTGAGATAAAGGGTTTGTGGCTGGGTTGCTGTTTATGTTTCTATTTTGAAAGCATACAGAGTACATTCCTGCACCAAAGAAGCTGAAACACAGGGATAAAACCTCTATGTAGGCAGAGACTCCACCTGTCCATTTTAATGAGCTAAGAAGGAGTTGTCTTCAGCAGTGGGGCCTTGATGTGAGTTTGTGAGGAACAACCTACAGTATTGGCAGCAGCCTGGGTTGTTTGGATTCCCATCATGCCCATTTGGCCAACAACTCTTATTTTTCAATTTCAATTGATCCTGACATATGTAATATATACCTTTGTTTATATGTTTCTGGATTCCCCTTTCAATAGGAAGGATAGAAATTCTTGTTTCCTCAAAATCTGTCATTTCATTTATACAAAAGCATGTTTAGCTTCTGTAATGTGCCAGTTGCACCTATATTAATGGAGATACCATCAATCAAGGCACAGATTAAGAGCCAATACCTTGAACTCATCTCTCAAGTTAGCCCTGTGGTACTTTCTTCCAAGAACACAATGATGATACCATCATTTTTAATCTCAGTGCTGAACCCACCTGTATTTACATCATGTTTCATTTGGCATAGGAAGGGCTTCCTAAGAACTAGCTTGAAAAGTACACAGAAGGACCAGTCTTGAACACCACTAAGTTAAAAAAGTTCCCCTAAAGTTTTTTAAGTAAAGAACACTTTTAGAATAAAGTCAGTATTGGGGAAGCATTTATATTTCAAGTCCCATATGAAATTTGAAGTACTTAATGGGCAGGAGTGAAAGAATCATTTACAGAAAATCCTTTACACCAGGGGCACAGTAGAACAAGGGACTTCAAAACATCCTGGTCCATGTTTAGGACTTTCTCAGAATCTTCAGTGCTTAGCCTCATTTATTCTTCTCCTGTGCAATGAGGGATTTTGGAAAGAAAAGCAAGACACCAGGTCTATGTGTCAAAAGTAGATTCTGCTCAGGTCTCAGTTTGGCACTTTGAGATGATGAAAACCAGTCAGAAGATGCAGGGCACTCCGTACACAGAAATTTAAGTTAGTTGTTCATTTTCTCACCTCTTGTTTTTCTTGTCAAAAATAATTAAAGCATAATTAATCTTGACATAACTGCTGAGCAAAATAGATGGAGTAATCTTGGAGAGAGGGGAGCTGTGCTTCAGGGACCGGGGCTCTGCAGAGGCCTTCCTTCCCCAGATACTGACAACATGAAACATTAAGTTTGCAATACCTGATGGCAGCCAAGAGTCCCACAAATCCTGACAGTACAAATGACCAGGCAAGTGTCACCTTCCCAGAGCTGCTCCAGATCCTGTCTGCACCACAGAGGTCCAGGTGAGTACATGGAGGTAAGATCTTTGATCCCCTCTGCTGTGCCATGGAGAGTTTCATTAAAGCAGAAGACTCTCTGACTAATCCAGGGAATAGGTGAGAGACTCAGTAAACCTCAGGTCCCCCACTTTCTTTCCGTCCCTGGCTCCAGAATAATCTAAGGAGACTAGTTCCTGGAGATACAGAGATGGAACAGAAATGCTGAGGCATCGCTATCCATCCTCAGGCTGGAGAATCATGACAGAGTTCTGGCTGGGCCTTAGCCTAAGTTACCTTTCTAAATGGATCAATAAGATACCTAAGATTTTCAGATGTCTGTAAACCCTGGAGACGATCATGATTCATTACTGTAATGTCAGCAATAGAGAGACTGAGGCAAGTGGATTGTTCAGGGCTAGCCTGGTTTACAGAGGGAGATTCTGTCTCAAAAATAACTAGATAGATGAAAGATAAAGTCATCTTTCTTTCAGGTGTCAGTTTGCCAGCACTGTGACTTCAACAGTGTCACTAGTGTGTGTACCAGTTGCACTTTTCTCTTTTGATGCATTTTCACTTTTCTAATATTGGCATAGTTTATAATATCCTTCTAACTCCCAGTTTGACAGTTTTCTGTCTGTATCTGTCTTTAAAGGCTCTAATTTTTTCACATACTATTATAAATCTTGTCTTAAATTCAGTCATTATATGCCATGCTGGTGAAGAATACAACACTCAGTGTAACAATTATCGTTACCACCTTGAAAACTGCTATTTAGAATCCAGGCTGTGAATGGATACACCCTGAAACAGCTCATCTTATGTTTATCCCATGCTAAGAACAAAAAACAACCATCTTTTTAGTTTGGTATGCTTGCTAGTTTCCTTTAGAGAAAACCAGGATTGGTAGATGTAACTTATTTCAGGAACTTGGGAGTTAGTTCCTGAAACACTCAATCTTTTAGTCTAAATATGTCAGTGAATGCTAATGTGCTGCCAAGGACCATCCTCAACAAAAATACCTCTTGCCAGGTTAGGAATGTGGGAATTTAGAAATATAAGTAGAATATGGAGACTCATAAAAAATAACAGAACAGAAACCATAGAAAGTATTGGGAGTGCATTCCTGTGAGTACTGAAAATCGCCTGCATTTATTTTTCCATAGCTTTTATACCCAAAGTAAACAGGAGACGGGATGGAGGGTGGGGAGAGAGAGGTTAACAAAAGACTTTATTAACATGATATGTAGGACAACTCAGTCAATTGCTTTATCACTCTGAGATATCAAATAATTAGCCTTTTGTTGTTTAAGCAGTAAGCTGTTCTAGACCATGGATGCTGAAGGCAACCACTCCCCAGGTGACTTCATAGTTACAAAAGAAGGAGCAGAAGTCCATTTGCATTTCTTGAACATCTGTCAGGGTGACATAGACCTACTTGAATGAGCTCTTTCAATGTTAAAGGAACCAAGCAATCACATCCTGAGTTGAGATGTGCAGCTAAGCTTGATCATTTGAGCAAACTCCAACTCTCTGACTGCGAGACAAGGTGGAAATGGGATCACATTTTTGAGCCTCCACAATTCCTTCCTTTTCTATTAATTTTAATAAAGCATGTAATTTTGCAGCAGGATAGATGATCATATCTGCCTTAGCTGAGCACGTTCCTATATCCCAGGCTTAGCTGTCTTTGGCACATGTATTTTAATTATACATGTCTATGTCTTAGGGGCCTGGGAGGAAAAAGGATCAAACCCATCAATGATTGCTGACCTCTGTAAACAAAGGTTAAGGGAAAATTTCCTCTGGGATCTCTGTTTCTGAGGCAAATTTTTGTTAAGAGATTTTATCTAGAAAAGGTGCCCAAAGCTTACCGCAAATCCCTGAGAAATGAGCTCTAGAACTTGAAGAATAGCATCCTATCTGAGTCCAAGTTCTGGAATCAGCTCAGACTGGTGTATAAAAAAACAGTCTGCCTGACAAACAGGTTGGAAGAAAAGCAGGCTGCAAAACCAACACACATAATTGCTGCTCAAAAGTCCCCACAGAAGCAAATGACACCACGACCTCTTACATAGTGGAACCCCTGCTCACACCGTTGCCCCTACTTACTGCGCTACATGCAGTTGACATTGAGAACTCATGACTCAAAAGGCACTCATCTCATGGCAGTATATACTCCCTCATTAATCCCATGTAGGTTTACCTCATCAGGATCCCCTGGTTCAGAGCTGTTCCATGTTCCCTTATGTGGCTACAGATGCCTTCGGTCATTTGCTAGGATCACATTTCTCTGCTACCCTCGGTTCTAGGAAGCAATACAAGGTTCTGCTAGACACCATCGCTAGCTGCAGCCTGGCTGTTACATGAAAATTTTCAGGTTGTGGTTTAATAATTCAGCTTTAACTGTAGCATTCTATCTAAAGAAGTTGTGCAACTGAACTTGACATTGAGAACTATGTTTTGAAAACAACCCGCAATTATACATATTGAGTGAAATCACAGAATGGTCAACATAAAAACTTTAAAAATATTAGGATTTAGAAATTGAGCTTATAAAGCTTTGAAGTCAAATGGAAATCTAGAAATAGTTACACCAATTAAGATGCAAATAAGAAAGGAGCCTGTGCCTTTGGAAATTGGGTGAGGAAATATGAAATAGGGAGAAAAGAAAGAAGTTTGGTTGGGGAAATTTGCAGTTCAGTTCAGTTGTGCTGAGAGTTAACTTGTTAATCCATGCATGTACATAGACAGACAGACAGACAGACAGACAGACACACACACACACACACACACACACACACACACACCAAATACACATTTTACCAAGTCAATTTTGCTAATATAGAGTTCAAACATATCTCCTTTAAAACCTTAGGGTTTCATTCCAGTTACCAAACTGGAAGTTACCTATCAGAGCTCACACATAACTCAGAGTCTACAGGGAAGAGGAGGAGCTCAGGGACTCAGTCTACAACAGCACATGTGTCCACCACTGACTCTCATACACCAGAAAATGCTATTATGCAAAATGTTTTTCAGATAAATATCAAGCATTACTGATGTCTTCTTGGAAAGCTCTTTGTATCCTGAATACAAGATTTTCTACCCAGAAAGGAAGAAATGCTTCTGAAATTTATTAAGCAAACAGTTTTCTTCTTCATGACTGTGTTTGGCACTCTCGGAAACATTTCTGTTTCTGTTAATTATATGTGCAGCTGGGTGAGAGGCACTGAGAAGAAAGCCATACACCTTATTGTCATCCACTTGGCTTTTGCAAACAGCATAATCCTTCTTGCAAAAGGGTTGCCAAAGACAATAGCAGTTTTTGGTTTAATAAACTACCTAGATGACTTAGGATGTAAGATCATTGTTTACTTGGAGAGGGTGGCCCGTGGGGTCTCCATCTGCACCAGCAGTCTCCTCACTGTGGTCCAGGCCATCATCATCAGTCCCAGAGCATCTGGGTGGAGGAGGCTCAGACCACAGTCTGCATGGCACATCCTTCCATTCTTTTCTTTCTTTTGGATACTCAACGCTTTATTAGCTATGAACCTAATCCATTCCATCACAAGTACAAGCCTGAATATATCACAGCATAAGAATAAAGATGACTATTGTTATTTTATGCTAGAAAGTAAGAATACAAAATGGATTGTTCTTCCCTTTATGGTCTTGAGAGATGCTGTGTTTCAGGGAGCCATGGGAGGCGCCAGTGGGTACATCTTATTTCTTCTCCACAAGCACCACCAGCATGTCCTCTACCTCCAAAACTCCAAGCTTCTCTACAGAACTCCCCCTGAGCTGAGAGCTGCTCAGAGTGTCCTCCTTCTGATGCTCTGTTTTGTTTTCTTCTATTGGACTGACTGTGCTTTTTCTCTTTTTGTAAGTCTCTCTTTAGTGAACAATTCCTTGATGGTAAATTTTCAAGAATTTATAACACTTGGTTATGCAACTTTTAGCCCGCTTGTGTTGGTTCACAGGAATGGACTTCTGCCTGAGTGTTGGCATGCTCAGTGGGAGAAATTGAGAAAATGTCTCTCTCCTTTATCTGTTCAATGAATGTGAATTCGCTCTCAGTTTTATAATATCTTAAGGAAGACAAAAAAAAACTCACAAAGCATTTTAAGCGTGTGTTTATTCTCGCACAGTCTTGCTAGTAACTCACAGCCTTGAGCTGAGAGAGAGAGATCTCAGTAAACTACAGTGATATGTGAAACTTTATTCTCCACTTTTCCTCTCTTTTGAAGGGATTTTTAAAATTTTCTATATTTGTATTGTGTATGGATAATTTACCTGCATTATGTGCTTGTAGCAATACATATCTTGTGCTTGTAAAGGGATCAAATGCCCTGTGACTGACTGGAGTTAGAGAGGTTGCTCTGAACTAAAGTGTGGTTGCTAGGAATTGAACCTGGGTCCTCTAGAAGACAAGCTAGTGCTCTCAACTACTGAGTCATGTCTGCAGCATAGAGATAATGGTCTTAATTATATTTTATAATACTGATTTTACTATCACCGTGATGGGAAACACACAGATGAATTTATGTAAAAGGAGACTGAACATTGTTTTCCTGGCTGCCCAGAATGAATAATCACACAGAAACTGTATTAATTTCAACAGTGTTTCCCTGAAGGCTCAGATAGATTTCTAGCTACTCTTACATCTTAAATTAACCCATTTCTATTAATCACCATGAAGGTATGGCCTTCCAGTAAGGTTCTGGTGCCTTTCTCTTCCAGGGGCTACATGGCAACTGCCTGACTCTGCCTTCTTTCTTCCTTTGTTCAGTTTAGTTTTCCCACCTAGCTCTATTCTACCCTGCCATAGGACAAAACAGCTTTTTTGTTATTAAACAATGGTAATAAAACATATTCACAGCATACAGAGGGGAATCCCACCTCAAATTTGATATATTTTATTAATTTCATAGTGATTTAGTCATGTTATCCAAAGAAATCCATATCTTGTACCTTATGTTGTTCTTGCTAAATGTTAGTTTAGCTATGATGCAGCTATGATGCTATTTGGGGTTCTTCAAAGTGTCTGTATTTTTCCATCTGTAGATAATATCTTACAGAATTGTGAAAAATGCTGTGAACTACATCCACCTCCTGGAATCCCAATGCACCAGAACTTAAATGCACTGAAATGTTTCTGTGGTCTTATATTCATGAAGGCTCTCTGCAGGAATGAAGATTGTCCACATGGGATAAACTGCATAACAAATACACAGTAAAATTTCATTTTATATCCATCTATAGATTATATGTTGATTAAATAATATGTATTTGCCTTTTTGCAAGATTAATGTGTAATGTGATTGAAACAGACTTAGGCTTGTCAGCAGCTGCCCTTTGTTAATGCCTGGTTGCGCTCCACAACACTATCCAGCTGTTTGTCATCAAAGAGCCGCAAAAGGATCTTATTCTACATCCATTTAAGTGAAGGATTCACTGCTTGATTTCTTAAATTAGATCCACACAATAAAAAGTTGACATGGTTCTAAGAATCTGATAGACCCATCCTTAAAAAATAGTAATTGATATAATTATAGAACATGAAAGTGTAGACTCACTAGTGGTAGTTTATGCCATATTTTTTTAAAAAAATGCTCTGTCATATCTGACTAAACACCTGAAATATTTTGGGTGCATCATGGCTCTACTTTACAATGATGTATACATTTTTATATTTTGCTTGGTTGTGCTGTATATACAAAACATTTAAGTAAGTGATGTGTATTGTATTGTGCTACAGATTATTAAATAACATGTTCTTCCACTATAAAAATTTATTTTATGTATGTGTCTGTGTGAGTGTGTGTCACATTTGTACAGTTCCCCACACAGACCAGAAGAGGGCACTGATCACAGGGAGCGAGACCTACAGGCAGTCATGAGTCCTAGATGTGAGTGCTGGGTAAGGAACCAGGGTCCTCTGCAAGAGGAGCAGGTCTCCTAACCATCCCTGCAGCTCCTTCTCACATTTCTCGTGTAATGTGACTTGTTTGTAGGGAACATCTACTACTTCTCTGAGTCTCACCCTCTTCTGTTACAGCTGTTTTTCCAGAAACTGACATGAAAGGTGAGACTAACAAACACTTTCATGTCATTTGACTCAAAAGGAGGTGATGTAAGAACATGGAGAAAGAGTGGAAAAAGTTGTGTTTAACCTGAATGAGGGAGAGAGCGTTCACTATTAAGAATAGAGTGGGATCTTGAGGGATGCCTTGGTGGGTCAAAGCACCTGCTGACAAGTCAGACATGATCCATTTCTGTAGAAGGAAACTGACCCCCACATGTTGTCCTCTGACCTCCATATTCATGCTCAGCCATACAACATGAACGCACACATGAAAACTTTAATTTAAAATTTAAAAAAACACAGACAGGATATATATACACAACATGAACTAGGATGGTCTGGATTCTGAGTGGCGTACAGAGTTGCTATTGTAAATTTTCCCTAAAAGAAGAGAGTAGATTGGAAAAAAATAGAAAATAAAACTTTGATCAGGACATAAATTAAATTTTAATATATGGTGAAAATTCTAAATAAATAGAGGATAGTGAAGGCAAATGGAAATAGTTATGCTCTTCAGGTAAAAGCACATGGAATTGGACAGATGAATTTGTATAAATGACTTTATCATTTCCTTATGCTGGACACATTGATTGTCATTAGCATCGACCTGTGGGACATTATGCTAAATGATATAGGTCAGCTGCATATGTACAAATTCCTCTTTATTTTACTACTAAGTGGAATCTGATAGAACAGAGAATACAGCCTTCAGAGTGTGGTGTGCAGCCTACAGCCCTGAGAAACTGCCTCCATCTGTGAACCTGCTAGTGCCTGGTTCCTCAATATAATCATAAATATGAAGCTGTGGCTACCCAGAGCTTACCAATCTTCATCTTCAAATCCTTCCTGTCATGTGACTTTTCCTAGGAAGACATTGAAAATTTTTTTTCACCCCTTAGGGTTAAAACTGTGCAAAGAATTGACCATCTAAGCTGAATTGAGTGAACCAGGTTATTTCGATTACCAGAATACACTGTAGTTTATAGCACGTGGGAGATTCAAATGCACCCGCATGACCAGGAAATTGACCTAATATAACCTTTGAAGTTCCCAAGAATGATAGCGTCCTACAATAATGAATCTACTTGGCTTGTGGCAATGCCACTAAGTTGACAAACACTATCCAAAGATCAGCGCTGAGTTACAAACTGCTCAAGACATTCAAATCACTAAGTTCATATTAGATTGACATTAACATTTTACCAGAAATGCTGATCCCAACATAGGTGACAACCAACACACACACACACACACACACACACACACACACACACACACACACTGTGAGAAAAGATCCCAAGCCTCAATGCACTTCCCAAGTAAATTAGCGCAATGGCAGGAAGAAGTGGAGACTGGAATCTTAGGCAAATGGTGAAAACGGCCTCCATGTCCCCATGAGATTCTAACTGTCTCATTCCCAGTACCATAGGATATACTACCACTCTACTGTGCCAAAGATATTCTGTGGGCCTTACAGTCACTGCTTCATGGTGGCCAATGGCCATGTACTGGCTAGTTCCATCAACTTGACACAGGCTAAAAGGAGGAAAGATCCATTGATAAAAAACCATAATAATATCCAAATGTATGGTATTTTCTTAATTACTGGTTGATGACTAACTGCCAGTTATGGTCCCAGTGAGAGACAGTTATGGTGAGAGACAGCAATGGGGAGACTACTCTGACTGGTGAGGCACTCAGATGCAAGGACCTAGTGAATGCCAGGTTCTCAGCTGCTCCAGTGGGATTTTGCTTTGCCCTAATGTACTAACATTTCAGATCATTATGTTAATCCATGTTTTTAAAAATAGATATGTATATTACCCTGAAACCCAAACCACATAAAGACATTACCAAGAAAGAGAATTACAGACGAATCTCACTCGTGAACATTGATGCAAAAATACTCAATAAAATACTGGCAAATTGAATCCAAGAACACATCAAAAAATCATCCACCATGATCAAGTTGGCTTCATCCCAGAGATGCAGGTATGCTCAACATAATGAAAATCTATCAATGTAACCCACCACATAAACAAAATAAAAAATAAAAAACACATAATCATCTCATTAGATGCTGAAAAAAAAACCTTCAACAAAATACAACATCCCTTTATGATAAAGGTCTTGGAAAAAGCAGGGATACAAGGAACATACCTAAACATAATAAAGGCAATATACAGCAAGCCAACAGCCAACATCCAACTAAATGAAGAGAAACTCACAGTGATCCCACTGAAATCAGGAATAAGACAAGGTTGTTCACTCTATCCATATCTATTCAATACAGTTTTTGAGGTCCTAGCTAGAGAAATAAGACAACAAAAAAAGATTGAGTGGATAAAGATTGGAAAAGAAGAAGTCAAACTCTCACTATTTGCTGATGATATGATAATTTACATAAGTGGCCTCAAAAATTCTACCAAGAAACTTCTACAACTCATAAACACTTTCAGTAATGTAGCAGGACACAAGATTTTTATTTATTTATTTATTAAAGATTTCTGTCTCTTCCCCACCGCTGCCTCCCATTTCCCTCCCCCTCCCCCAATCAAGTCCCCCTCTCTCATCTCTAGGATCACTAATTATAGGCTCAATGTAGCAGGACACAAGATTAACTCAAAAAAAATCAGTAGTCCTCCTTTATACAGATGATAATGGGCTGAGAAAGAAATCAGAGAAAAATCACCCTTCACAATAGCCACAAATAATATAAAATATCGTGGAGTAACTGTAACCAAACAAGTGGAAGACCTGTATGACAAGAACTTTAAATTTTTGAAGAAAGAAATTGAAGAAGACACCAGAAAGTGGAAAGATCTCCCATGCACTTGGGTAGGTAAATTAACACAGTAAAAATGGCAATCTTCCCAAAAGCAATCTACAGATTCAATACAATGCCCATCGAAATCCAGGAAAATTCTTAACAGACCTCAAAAGAAGGACACTCAACTTCATATGGAAAAGAAAAAAACCAGGATAGCCAAAACAATCCTGTACAATAAAAGAACTTCTGGCAGCATCAGAATCCCTGACCTCAAACTCTATTACAGAGCTAAAGTATTGAAAACAGCCTGGTATTGGTATAAAAACAGACAGGAGAACCAATGGAACAGAATTGAAGACCCAGATACAATCCACACATCTATGAAAACCTGATTTTTGACAAAGAAGCAAAATATATCAAATGGAAAAAGAAAATAAATTTAACAAATGGTGCTGTCATAACCTGATATCAACATGTAGAAGAATGAAAATAGACCCATACCTATCACCATGCTGAAAGCTCAAGTACAAATGGATCAAAGACCTCAACATAAAACCAACCACAGTGAATCTCATAGAAAAGAAAGTGGGAAATATACTTGAATGCATTGGAATAGGCGACCACTTCCTAAATATAACCCTAGCAGCCCAGACACTGAGAGAAACAATTAATAGATGGGACCCCCTGAACTGAAAAGCTTTTGTAAAGCAAAGAACATGGTCAACAAGACAAAACGACAGTCTACAGATTGGGAAAAGATATTCACCAACCCCACATCAGACAGAGGTCTGATCTCCAAAATATGCAAAGAAATCAAGAAATTGAACATCAAAA